CAGTTTAGCAGAATTGGCAGCAACCGAATAAATTTACTAAGCAATCTAAGTGAAATGGCTAATCTAAGTGAAATTACGAGTAAATTTATCATTAAGTTAAATATGGAAAATCTTAAACTTACCTCGTTGCGTAGAGTATGAACCTCATTCTGCAACGATACTATCATCTCACGTAGAGCGGCAACCTCACCACGTAAAGTTGACACCTCCACACGCCATGCACCATCGTTATCGCGTAGAGTACCGATCTCCTCACGCAAGGCATTGACCTCATCACGTAACTCCCTTGACTCATCCCGTTGAGGTGGAGGTGGAGAACAGGGAGATAGGAGTCGTGGCATCTTTGCCGGTCGCCTATCATGAGGTGATGGTGGAGAAGAGGCTCGATGATGTGACGGGATAGGTGATGGCTCTCGTTCTAGAGGTGTATAGTCGGGTCGATCGGGTGATGGCTCTAGGTGAGGTGATGGCTCTCGAATTGGAGGAAGTGGATGCTGCTCATCATCCGTGCCATCAAAAAAATTCAGACTAGCTTGCCACCAATCAGTGGCAAGCTCTTCCTCCGTGGGTGTCAGTCTTTGTAATGGAATGTTAGCCTCCTAAAATATAAAAACTCAAACAAAGTTAAACGTCTACTATTAATAACTTGTTTATATATTATATGAAAGTATTTGTGTTAACTTACATTATTTATTGTGGCATATGGTATTAAGTCTTCCCAATCCAACAGAGTTTTCCTCTTCCAGGAAATAGCCCTGGGAATATCATTTGACGTTTTTATTGCATATGTACGCATGCTGGGGAAAGCCTCGAATATCCAAATCTACAAACAATATAATAACAAAATTAGTAATTGTTAAATAATTAATTATAATTTTAGAAACATTATATAGAAATTCTTACCTTAAAGGCCCAAACAAAGCCTGACAAAGTGTATTTGGACCCATCGCCCCGCAAACTTTTGCGGTCATCAAAGGCAGACGACAACTTAGTCCAGGTAGCTTTCCATATATACGAACCCCACGGAAACAGATTCCATGCATTCAGGTCCTCTACCAATATTATTAGCTCCCGATGAATAGGTTGTCTGGCCTCTCTGCCTAAAAAGCCGGCATACACAAGTAGTAGAAGGCATACTCGGACAACATCGACGTCATCCATCCGAGTGAAACCAGCTTTCTTATTAAACAATTTCTTCAGGTCGTCGACATGTAGGTTCGGCTTCTCCATTGACTCATCCGGAAAAACCCGGGATAACCATGATGGGCGGGCGATATGACGAGTGTACCGGCCTAAATCATCGTGTCCGAATCGTAGACCAGTGATTAAGCAGAACTCCTTCCGCCCAAAACAAGTATACGCTGGTGGAAAATGAAACCATATCTCTTCCTCACCACGTTGTATACTGTCGGGTAGATTTGATGTCATGGTCTGAAGCCACAAATGGGTCAAATTAGCATCTCCACCCGGATGTTGTACTCTCAGCCATGGCCCGAAGCAGGTTTCCTCAAACAATTGTCTTTGAGCAGGTGAAAGCTTCTTTGCAATTGTAGTGGCCAGGCTGACTTTATTTCTCAAGGTCAATTGAGCCGAAAAAAATTTCTACAAAAACAATAAACATACCAAGTTAGATATACCAAAAACTACACTGTGAAGATATACCAAAAACAATAAACATAAAAAGTAGTAGTTTATTCTTGAAACTAAAATTTGCAACACTGTTTTGTCTTTTGGTTGAAATGAAAATCGCAACGAGAGAATCGCAACGAGAGAATCGCAACGCGAGATGACAATCGCAACGAGAGAATCGCAACGCGAAATGACAATCGCAACGAGAGAATCGCAACGCGAAATGAAAATCGCAATGCGATTTTGGTTTCGCGTTGCGATTCTCTCGTTGCGATTTTCATTTCGCGTTGCGATTCTCTCGTTGCGATTGTCATTTCTCTCGTTGCGACAGTCATTCTCTCGTTGCGATTTTCATTTATCTCGTTGCGACTCTTCTGCAAATTGAAACTTGAATGGATTGCATTACTTCAACCAAAAGACAGAACAAAGACAAAGACAAATACTAACTTGAAAATCGGAACGAGAGAATAGCAACGCGAAATGAAAATCGCAACGACAGAATCGTAACGCGAAATGAAATCTAAGTGAAATGGTTAATCTATTATTGAAATGACCAGTAAACTTATCATCAGTTTCAATATGAAAAACCTACAATAATGCAAACATTTCAAAATAAAAATAATTAAAAAAACTAACCCTCGGAGGTTGATTTTCCATTTCTGAATATTGTGAGGGATTTCTGACCGTGAATGGTTGTGAGGGATTTCGCCGGAGATGGGGACGGAAATCTTCGGAGATGGGGACGGATTTCTTCGCCGTAGAGAGTGAGAGATGGAGATGGGACTGAGTTGTGATTTTAGGTTTTAGGTTATGAGTTGCGATTACGGGATTTTGTCTTAATATTCTTTTTGTAATTTGAAAATAAAATATGCGTAGCGATTATAATGGCGCTTTAAATATCGCGTTGCGATTTACGGATTATCGTTGCGATTTACAGATTCTCGTTGCGATTTACGGATACGCGTTGCGATATACGGATACGCATTGCGATTTACCCATACGCGTTGCGATTTACGGATACACGTTGCGATTTACGGATACGCGTTGCGATTTATGTGTTCGCGTTGCGATTTTCATATTCGCGTTGCGATTTTGGAAAATCGCAATGCGAATTTGTACTATCGCATTGCGATTTTCAAGAATCGCGTTGCGATTTTGGAAACTGATTTGCGATTCTGGGGATCGCGTTGCGATTTTTATTTCGCGTTGCGATTTTGTTGGTCATTTTGGCAAATCCAAAAAAAGTTGGTTAAAATCGTATATTATAACTTTTTTTTGGTCACTGAGGCGATTTTCTCTTATTATTATTGTTACAATAAAAAAACAAAATATTATGGATCAGTGGTAAAATTTTTGAGCCCAAAACCACATAACATGCGGTTGAATCTTGTAAATGTTTTCTAGTTAATAAAGTCATCTTTAAAAAAATTGAGATTTAAGGGCCTCTTTTTAAGAATTTGCACAGGGCATCCAACGTCCTAGCCCGACCCTGTTTCAAAATATAATTATTTTTATTAATTTGAAATAATACATATATGCGTGTGAGAGATAATTGTAATTTGTTAGGTAACCTACAGCTATTCATGAAATGTAATCAGAAATGAACAAGCCAACTACCAAACAAGTGAAGACAAATACAAAACAATTCTTTGTAGGACATTAGCCTTATTTATTAACTTAACAAGAATGAGTTTTGATTCCGAGTAAGCAAATGAAAACATCGATCGACAAAAGGAAACACAATATATAAGAATCATTTATTTTATTGTAAGAGTATTTTTTATTTTATTTTTTTCATATAATATTTAAATAAAATAACTTAAAATTATAATTTAAACATTAAACATAAGACTAATAGATTAATATATAAATCGTTTTCACTCTACATATGGTTGTGTGATAATTTAAATTTTACACACACATATATATATATATATATATTACATTTTTATTTATAGGATACAATCTAACAGTAATTAAATATTTGAGATCTTAAATATCAACTTCAAGGTGGGTAGATTAACATCTTGCAAGCAAATAAATAAAGGGTAAACTATACGTTTAGTACCTACACTATTACTTTTTGTTATATTTTGGTACCTATTTTTTTTTAAAATCATACCTAACGTTTGGTTTATGTTTCATTTTGGTACCTCGTTGTTAAAAACTTAACGGTGATGTTGATGTGTCACCAATATAATAATGTCAAGTCATCATTGAAAAAAAATTAAAAAATGACATATCAATAGCTTAGTTAATTTTTTAACAATAGGATACTAAAATGAAACATAAACCAAACATTAGTACGTTAGGTATGATTTTGAGAAGAAAAAAATAAAGTGTAAGTACCAAACAGAATAAAAGTAATACTTTAGGTACTAAATTTGTAGTTTACCCATAAATAAATGAACATGAAGATAGGCCTAAAGAGGTCCAAAACAGATACAAAGTAGTTTTGGGTTTTTGCGTTTTTAACTATGCCAACCCAATTCTATTAGATTTTAATGTAATTATGGACCATGGTTCCAGAGGAATTAGCTCATTGGACCTCTAAATCTATCCCTTTTCCATCCTGAAAAAAAAGGAAGTGAGACTCAATCCATTAATACTATTTTATTTATTATTTTAAATATATCGATTATTACTATGTAAGATGTACATGCAGATTGTGTATATATTTTTCCAAAAGAATAATGTGAAAAACATAACATGTCATGTGAAGTGATGGCTAAAACATGTGAAGCCTTGAAAACCCATCGATTCTAAAAACATGGTTCTTGTGGAAATGTTAAATGGACAGCACCAAACCAAACATAACAATCATAGAAAGCATGACAACTTACATCATTTAAATGTTGCACGTCGGGAAGATGACTGCATTCATTTCTGAATTTTTAGATTAAACATAGCAAAATGCTAATCACTCACACATATATATATTATATGCGTTTTATCAATTGTTTTGGTCGTATTTAAATTGTTATCACAACTATCATATATATATCATATTTTCGTATTATGTTTAAAATAATCAAATTACTCTCCCTACTATATTAATGGAGGTGACATAAGTAATTATTATTACTATCATCATGTGTTTTTTGAGCTCTTTGCTAATCCTTCAAGCTAAGTAAAAGCCACCATCATATAGGAAGAGAAAATAATTCAGAAGATTGTTTGCTGAGTATGATTTTCTTGTCATTTGAATAGCAAGTTAGCGGATGAGAAATTATAACGATGTGATAGAAACTTGGCTTTGAGAGTAAGCACACTGATAAGTTAATGGAGGTTAAAATAGCACAGGAGGAGAAAATTATGGCAAGCAACAACCACTTTTAAAGTCCTTATAAAAGCCATTGTTACCCAAAACATTTTTAACAAATCAAAGAAACATGAATCCATTTGCTTCTTTCTTGCTTATCTTATCTTCTCTAGCTTTGGTTTCCATGGCCAGTGCTCAAGACAGAGCTCCCCATGGCATTGCATACGAGAGCCCTATGGCCTTTTCGCCTTCGGCATATGACTTTTTCCATCCCAACACCGAAAACCCTTGCTCGGCTTCCAAGTGCTCACCACCGTTACCTGTTGCGGCTCAAGTCGACGGTTCTAAAGCGCTTGCAGAGAAGGTATCATCGACACAGGATAAATCAGGCCGTGGAATGGGAGCGGGTGGAGTTGCTGCCATTGTTTTCAGCTTGGCATTTGCAGTGCTTTTGGCAATGGGTGTTTACTATGTGCTGATCGCCCGTCGAGCTAATGCTGATCGAACAAACATTGTTCAAGCTGATGCCTAGATCATTTTGCTCTTCAAACATATCCAATTCTCAATGTACAATATAGGCCAAGGCTTGCTAACGATGGAGTAGCAGTTAGATTTAAACCTTTTCTTTTACCATCTTTTTCTCCCATCTTTGGGCTTTTCTTCTTTTGATTCTGCGTTATGATGTTGTTTTATGATTGAATTCGCATGATAGTGTTTCACATAACTGTCTGAGGTTATGTTATGATTGAAGGCAGTGGAGAATCTGTAGCTTCTCTTGAGATTGTGTCGCCAGAATTTATATTTGGGTGGTAATTTTTTAAAATTCTTGGAGGGGATAAATTTATAAAAGTGTAGGAGGACGAAAACATATTATCAATAAAAAAAAATCTAAAATATATGATAGTTTAAATTTTTAAAAAAAGACGATCATTGGATTCATCTAGGGAAATGAGACATTAAGCTTACAAAACCAGGAAAACGTGCAATAATGTAATTCATAATTAATAGCTTACTATTTCTTTTAGAGCTGATTAAAGGATACATCACCGTCAGGCTGAAAATATAAGCTCTCGAGGTGTGACAGATCTACTCCAATCACAGTTAAAGCCTATGCCCCATAGTGGTTGTAGCCAACCACTTTCTCATTCATTTAAAAATAAATGGGATTCAGGTCCATGTAGGTATGTTTATCTATAAAACTGTTTAGAATTTGAATTCTGATCACTCAATTTGATACACTTTATCCATAAAATATTATAGTAATTTTGTTCTTTAAAAATTGTTGAATTTGATACACTTTATATTTAATGCATGCATATGTGGGACTCATCACATTTTCTCTCGTGTGATTGGTCTCTCAGCTACTCCAATGGCAATGCAATTATTGAAAATGGTCCTTCTCTCGTTGCCTGCTTATCATCTCAACACCATACCATCTTTTTAGCTAATTTAATTGTGTCAATAACTGGACATCATTCTCCTGCTCCATAAACACGAAGACAAGACATACGGGAATTTCTAAAAAGATCTTAATATGGGTTTTCTATTACCTTCAATGTTGCATAAAACATTATCCAATTACATAATCATTACAAAACTTGCGGTAATTTACGTAATTTTATAATGTTTCTGTATAGTTGAAACAGATTGGAAGCTCACCATACAATCTTTTGTTTGAACTCGAAAGCACCTCTTTTATATATATATATATATATATATATATATATAAACTATGTATTTAATTACTCAACTATTATTTTGATTTCATTTTAGTCATCCAATAATTATTTGTAATGTTGCATTTGATTTTGGTTTCGTTAAAAAATTAAACAGTGATACTGTCACATCGTGATTGAAATAAATAAATAAAATTAACATATTAATAATTTGTTCATATTTTAACAATGGATGACCAAAATATTATGATATATATGCTTTTAAAAAAAAATAGTTAAGATGACAAAAACAGAACCAAAGTGATAATTGGATGACTAAATAAATAGTTTACTTGCGGGGATTTGGTTAAAATGGATATGAAAAACAGATTCACTTGAAGTGACAAATATCCCAACCCCATTTTTCTTCCCCGGTCAAAACATTAGACATTAGTTTTCTTACCTGTGCTGCTTATTCGGAACAGGACTGGAATATCCTCACAGTTTGGTACCTCCTCTTCTGCACATGCATTTCAGAACTAACATTGTTGTTCTAAATGAATATTTTTACAGAACAAGGATTCTGATTATGGATTGTCGAAATTGGTGTCTCGAGTATATCAGTTTTGCAGATCGGTTTCAGACATTCTTGTTTTTGACCCAGAGTATGCAAATCATTCCCTATTTGCTTACTTTGATCAAATAGTGCAAAAAACTACCATGCTTGTCTGAAATCTAATTCATGACGGTTGTATTCACCAAAGAAATTTTCAGTGCAAAGTGATGTGTAGAGTCTATTTAAAGTTTTGAAAGCTTTTTTTCTTATTTCAATCTGAATGTTAAATTCACTTCCTCACCTTCTCAAAAACATAAGTGTCAACGTTTCAAGCCTTCTAATTCAACTTAGCATTAACTTCCCCATCAAGAGGAGGCTCGGTCTCAAGTTTTCAGATTCGAAAGGACTATAACATCGAATATCGAGAAGGCTAAAGTTACAGCAACCTCAAAAACATAATAATGAATTAAAACTTATCTATATTCCTCTGGCAAACTATAACCGGTCAGGACTATTTTGTCAGCAAACATCTTTCCAGTCTTAGGCATAACATGCCAATGCATCGTTAAGTTGAATTTTTTGCCACGGAGATTGTTTCCCTAGATATTAAAGATTGAAGAAAAGAGAGAATTATTCTCCATTGCAAGCAAGTCCTAATTACTTTGTCTAAATCTGATAACAGGAAGAAGCTACTTCATTTTTAAAAAGCATACCTGATCAACAAACCGATACTTGTTTGAGGTGTGGATCCAAAATTTAGCATTCTCTTTGGCAGGTATTATAGCATCCCAAAGCGAGACCTGTCAAACACCATGTCAAAAGAATCAAATAGTAGTGTGAACATATTTTCTGCTAATTCAAATAAGTGAAGAAGTTTATATGCCAATTGCCGGTGCTTTTAATTATCATGACCAGAGCAGAGGATTGACAAGTATCATCACTTACGAAAACATACATAGACTCGCCTCAAAAATTGTGATCTGAGTCGGTGATAACACAAACAGGTAATAATGAGGGGAATTTAACCTTACCTGATTCAAGGAATTCTTCGGGGTTCCATATTCGGCTGCTACAAAAATGAAAACCTGTGATGTGATATTTTAAGTCAGCTTCAAAAATGATAAATGTTTACAACAAAGAGCAACTGACTACACAAGCAAACCCAAATAATCAAATCATCACTCCATCTAGAATAGAATTATTGGATTGTGAATATGAGGTTTGGAGGGGGAAGGAGAGGCATTACTCAGAATGAAAAAAAAAATCCATTTTGAAGAAAACAAACAAACTACCTCATGCATTTACTATAATTGAAAGAAGCAAATGCCATAAAGTTCTAACAGAAGAAACCGTAAAGATCTAGGAATAGCAAACCTGTTTCGTGTTCCAAGTAAACAATGACTGCAAATCAGCTGATACATTCATCATTAGGCTGACCTACATAAGTTGAAAGCGTTTGATTAGAATTGAACAACAACTAACAGTAACTAAGTAATAAGAAGTGTGGGATAAAAACCAAACTATGGCTGAAAAAAGAAGAAGAAAATAACAACTAAACTAACATACCACCGATAATATATACATAACCAGGTAGTTCCTCTATCAAACACAAGTAAACCCATGATTGCAAACAACATTACCTCATCATGCCCTTGGGGCTGCTTCTGGAACCAATTAATGTTTATAATCTACAATCGCACCAAACAAAACAAAATAAGAGTCAAACACAGAACAATCCAAAAAGTGACTTAAAAAACAAACGCTAATCATCCACCTAAAAATGTATCCAGATATGACTATATTAGCAAAGATCGACCTTGATTTCTGCAGACGGAGAGGGAGTATTGAAGTTGTCAGAGAGAGACGTGATGGCGCACATTAGTGCCAGAATAGTCACGGCAAATGTTAGCAGACCATTTAATCTATATCCAAAAGAATGCATCTTCTCCTCTTCCTTGACTCTGTTTTGATCGTACTGCTCCTCAGATTCAAGGTCAGCTCCTCTGTTACAAGTAACAGGTATAATGAACAAAAAGAGACAAAAATCCAGCAAATATTAGTCTAATATTACTAAAAAAAATAACGAAACGCATCATTGCAAGATTCCAAATTAATCCTCCATAAATTTATATTATTGGGGGGGGGGGGTTCTGCTAAAGTCAACACCAAAGGGGAAAACCCAACATTGAGATCAGATCGACTAGGGTTTCATATTGTGAATTGGGTCAGGGGGAAAATGAGAGAATGAAGTCGCCCAAAGTCAAGATCAACAAAAACAAAAACACCAATAAACAGATAGAAAGAAAAATAAGTGAAACAATAAAATCTAGAAAAAAATATATAATGAAAATGAGATGAAGGATAACGACACAGAATTATGTTTTGAACAAAAAGAAGCCAGCAATCGGTGAAAATTAAGAGATATTTTGCAATAAAAATGAGCATGAAAATACCAATATGAGCTGTGATTGAAAAGAAAGGAAATTGATCAAATAAAAGGATGGAGGAGGTGCGCAAACTTTACCTAAAGTGAAGCGAGAGAAAAAAGCAAATTAAACCAGTTGGGGAAGAATTAATTGAGAGATTGGGGGTTTCGAAACGGATTTTATTATACTCAACTGATTTTCACTTTTGGAATAACAGCGCGGAAATTATGAGTTACGAAACTTTTGTTGGGGTTTGGTGAAAAATAAAGGGTAAACAACACAAATGGTCTTCCGATTATATAGTGTTATTTTTTTGAGTCCCTTATTATTAAAAGTTACAGAATGATCTCTCAACTATAGGTCGTTGATTTGTTGACTTCGTTAAATATTAAAAGTTATAAAAGGATCATCCAACTATTCATGTGTTCTAATCTTATCTTTTTTTTGTTAAAAATTAATGGCTGACTGAACTGAATGCTAACATGTTAATCGATATATGATAAAATTTGATTTCATAACCGTTTGAGTTGTATTTTTTGACATTAACCTATTACCGTTCAGCTCAGACGGTCGCCAATTTTTAATGAAAAATGATAAGGTTGAAATATATAAATAGTTGGGTGATCATTTTGTAACTTTTAATAGAAGATGACTCAACAAAGCAATATCTTATATTCGGAGAATCATTTTATAACTTTTAATAGTCGGGAGACTCAATAAAAAAATTATTTTATAGTTTGGGGATCATTTTTGTACTTTACCCAAAAATAAAACAAATAAGGTGAGTCAAAATAGAAATAAATCATAATAGAAATGGATTAATTGCACTAAACATCTCAAAACTATGGGACAAATTTAAACTGGTCCTAAACTTAAAAATTCAAACCGTTCTAATTAAATCGTTAAACTAAAACATCATTTCAATTGGATCTTTCGTCAATCTAGATCAATTTTGATGTTAAGTGTTAATTTC